ATGATGGTCTTGATTATATATCAGGCCTTTCTTGAGCGTTAGAGCATGTATTTATAGTCTCAATATCCCACCAACTAATTCCCTATATATGAACATAAAGACCAGATCCCAAGCTATCCCTCAATCCCCGGAGAAACATCATAAGACACTCGACTAATTCCCTTTTGCCGACTGATCTTGCGGATAACAACAGACCCAACCAAGCTCGTCCTCGCAACATGAGTACCACCACAGGGATTGTGATCGAGCCCACCTATACTCGCAATCCGGGTACGACCCTCTTCAGCACCCTCCTCATCCCCAACCTGCGCGACACCCTCCAGCCAGGAAATGAGAATAGGCAGATCCAGCTGTACAAGCTCATCCACCTTCTCCTGGATAACCGGCTTGTGCTCATTATACAACAACCCCTCATATTCCATAGAAGCCTCCCTGGGGAAGTGATTTGCCTTGACCTTCTTCTTATCCGGCATCAGAAGCTGCATGGCCAGTCCAACGATGTGACCAGCTGTATGGAGCCGGGAATGATAGTTGCGCTTTGAGTCATCGACCTTCTGCACGACAGGTTGGCCCGCGACGAAGGAAGAGGTGGCGTCTATGAATTTTCCAAAATGAAGAAACCGTCCGTCGGACGTCTTGCGTACCAGCGAGACTTCAAATGTGGGGTCTTGGTCTACTGGACCAATTGCGCCAGTGTCGCTGGGCTGTCCGCCGCCTTGTGCATAAAAGATAGTCTGGCGCATGGTGATTGCGCTGTCTTCCGCGGGCACATTCTTGGCTAAGAGTTTTTCTTCTTCGGAAAGTGAAGGTATTGACTGGGAGGATAGAACCTCCGTGGTCAATGTCCGCAGTGTGGCATCATCGAGGTACACTGCCTCTGTTCTTGGGACCTGGGTTGGCGCATTAGTGGTGGTATATCGGGATAAAGTCGGAGAGTTAGTACCATTGTTGTTACAGGTGCTGCTTTTATGCCCAGGACCTTCTTGCAGATATTGTTCAGGGGGGAAATTCTGTTGGTATGAGAGGACTTTCCCGTATATGGTGGGTCATGTCAACCAAAGGGCGGAATGCCTCAATATTCAGGTTTCTAATATATTCTTGTCGCGGACACCGGTACTACAAAATATTTATCTCATTAATTTGGAACATTTTTTTTTCATTGATCATTCTGGAATCCATTTAAGGATCTCAGTAGTACTATGTAAGGAAGATATCTAATTCATGGCAGAATTGTATGTGTAAAAGACCTGTGCCATGAATCGCGACAATGCAGAAGTTCAAGAGAACCGGGAATCATATCAAAACATGTCGTGAATAAAACGTAGGAATAAAGTAGAACGAGGACGCGAGACCAGTCATCGAGGAAGTGCAGCCATGAGCGAAGGTCACATCATATCGAGATCCGCTTATTTGGGAACTTCTTCGCTGGTTTCATTGTCGAGCTCGGAATAAATTTTGCCGTTGGAGGTCTTTCGGTGCTCGCGCTCGATAGCAAACTTGACGGCATCAAAAACATTATCGCATATTTTCCTAGGTGGATAACGTGGGACAGCACCATCCTGGTAGACGCCAGTCTTAACCAAAATCGAGAACCAATCATTTTCCGTGGTCTTGTTGAATTCATTGGTACCACGGATGTCAGACTCCGGGGTATCGCCGATGAAGTACACGGTAGACGGAGACTTGTCAATGCCGCACGAATCTTTTCGCCACTTCTGCAAGAGCCGGGTGGCAAATGCATAGGTTCCGAGCTGCGGCTTGCCGAAGGCGATAGTGTTGAGGTCTTTACCTGTGATAGCCGTGTAAACGGCCTCGAGGGAAGCGCGCAGCGCTCCCATCCCAAGACGTGAATGTTCATGCGATGTTGACCAAACCACATCGGTGTGCGAGAAGAAAACCGGTGGACCTTCGGTAAAGGTCTCTGACCGTGTATTCAACCAGCCGTCTTTGGTCATGAGGCAGTCCAGAATGATTTGCTGGTCGCCGGCCCAGTCGCGGCTATCTGCAAAGACAAAGATTGCTTCGATGCGGACATTGTCTAGATCGAGCAGTCGGGAATTTTCGTGCTCTTCATCCGTCAATGTTCGGAACGGCGTAGTATCGTGTCTAGTCTTGATGATATCTCCGGGTGTGATAACATCCTTGAATCCGTATCCTTCGGCCACGTCCCGGCATTTCTCTCCCTCGCCACCAACCACCAGGACGGTGTGGTATCGCTCTGCCATTTCGCGCATGGGCGTGTGGCCACAGATGAACTGGCCAGGGTCGACTTCCAGGTCAAGTTGTCTGCTGAGATCGAGACATCGCTCTTTCTCCGTCTTTCCGCCGCCGTTGGTCAAGAAAATATAAGGACTAGGATATTTCCGTTAGATGTAAATTCTCCTTCTATTGGCAATTGTTACCCCTCACCACAGGGGTGAGGGGTAACATAGAAAATTATCAAGGGTAAAAACTTACACTTTGACTCCGTAAGGGTTCTCACCGTTGATATACTTCATAGCATCAACGGCTTCAGGGATAGGCTCGCCGCCCTTGATGAGAACACCATCAATGTCGAAGGCTAGTGCAAAATCATCGCTAGTAACCTTAGGTGGGTGTGGCATAGGTGTGTTGATTGGTGAATCCTTAGATGAGACATCGGGTTTGGTCATATTGGATTTAGATTTGAAGATATGGTTAGAAGTAGAAGTGAAATGCTTAGGGACGACGAGATTAGGACCATAGAGATCGGTCCGAGCGGTGTCCAGGTCGAGTCGGACTCTTTGAGTTCCTAATGTATTTGTGGCCATGGTGAGATGAAGGGTGTGGGGCGGGCGGGTACAATATGACGATGGTGATCGCTGCCGTATAATTATGTACTCTTGAATCTCTTGAGTCGGTTCTCTCTGTTGAATCTCTCCGTTGAATCTCTTAAAGGGAGTCACACAAGCCAATCCGATCCTTGCGATATGTAGGCGCTAAATGTGCAGGTACTTGATGTACTGCAGGATCAAATAGGCAGACAAATGTAAATTGAATTGGAATGAATTACTAGGACGAAGCATGTGGGGGGGAATCCAATAGCCATTAATATACCAAAGTAGCAGATCCCAAAGGGGGACTTTGCATCATCGACCCTCTTTACCCCAATAAAAAATATGGGGCCTTCTGTTCAGGCTAGGACTTCGTCATTTTGCGGGTTTTTTTGGATTACAACAAATCTGAAATTGTCGATCCACAACAAATCCTTGGCGCATGAAACCTGTCTAGGTGTTCTAAGAGTCGGGTTGATGACGCTGATTTGATAAGAAGTCCGGAGATAGAAAGTGAAATGCCTGGTTGCGGACAAGAAGAATCAGAACCAATGATGATGATAGGATTTGGCACGATTTGACAGGATTAGACCGCTTCAAGCCTTTTGGCTTGCTTGAAGCATGAATACTCACGTCAAGAAGTATCTCCGTTCTTCGGAAGTATCGGGTATTTCGAGTCTGACCTTTCTCAAGGGAGTAGAGGCATCCATAGGGAATATCAGGGTGTATCAGGGCATTGACGTCATAAATCTGGATCTCATCCTCAGGAACGGAAATCAAAACTGGCAAGTTAACAACCATCTATAGAGTCTATGCCTTATACCATGTAAAGTAGGATCTTGATATCCGAATCTAAAGTTCTGAGTAGAAAAAAAAAAGAATAAGGTATAAACTAGGTATGTTGGCACATGTTGGCCGATACTACTCTGCACCTCGGACCAACATGCAGCAGTTGGGTTAAGGAATGCAAGCCATAACCAACGATCACGGTTTGGATGAAGTGCCCCCAGAAATTGTCTTTATTGCATTCTGATCAAAACATAGGAACAAGATGCCAAGAGGAGAAGCCAGAGTTATATTTTGAATGCTCAACGCAATGGACACTTTGATACTCTAAACAAAGCCTGACAAACTCGTGACAATATGCGGGATACCTGCCAGACTTGGTCAAAGTGTCACTATGCATGCATACCGTCAAACTAATCACGAGATCCTGCGTACTGCAGGCTTGCGAATCTCTCTGGGCGATAACGGATTCAGCCCTTGACCAAGAGATACAAGATGGACTGGGCGTATTCTGGGGCGCCATACGCGGCTATCTATAGCTCCGTGTATGGAATCTTGCACCCGGGTGATTTTTACGGACGGGAAAGGAAACCAAACTGTTAACTTTCTAGTTTGGGTCCGAGCACAGTCTGTGCACGTAAATTGGAGGGGAATGGTTACAATCACCGTAGACAGACGAGTGTCATTGCGTTGAGATGAGCCCGGGCCTAGGTTGGAGGGGTTTCACAAGCCAGATCGAAAACGTATATCTCTGACAAGTGTTTTGCTGCCTATGTGTTGGAACGAGGTACTTCAAGGGGCCTTGGGGTCTCTTGAAAATAGCAATAAGCGGAGACTTTGACCCAGATATGTACATATTTGCCGACACACGAAGATCACGATCGGCAGAATCTGGGGAAGGACTCGGCTTCTCCACTGGGTTGTTTTTGTATTACGTTGTATAGTTCTTATCCCCTTGGTGATCTTTACTTGACGTTATCTACACAATGGAAATATCTGTAGGACTAATTATATCTTTTTCGTAGCCATTAGAAGCTTACTAGCAGGTAGCTATGCAGGTTTTTCATGTTCTTCAGCCCCGTATGGCTTATTTCGGTGATGCATGAAATGGCCCCAGCAGGATCCCGGGATATGAATCAAAAATGGAAGAAAGAAAATACGACAGTCTATCAATATGCTGAGGGGATAGGGAAGAAACAGATATCTCTACAGAGCTACAATCTGGATAGATCCTCAACCAAGAAAGTGTATCCAAAGGATCACAAGCAACTCATCTAAAAGATATAATAGACTTATTATAATTTAATCCAGTCCGTTAGACTCCTGGTCTGTTTAATTCATTCCCTCACATGGAAGAAGTTATGCTGAAATTTGATGGATATTCTTGTAAGACATATCACAATCAAATTATAAGAGATGCACTCAAGCCGAGACGTCAGATCCAGACTCCTCTGCAAGATCATCGATAAGACCATCAAGGTCTATTTCATCGTCAATATCGGCCCAGTCATCAAAGAACACGTCCTCCTCTCCAAAGTCGTTTTCCTCCCAAGGAAGTGTCAATGGTTTGCTTGGATGGTAGAACATGCGGTGGTAGAAGGACAGACATTCGCAAGAACATACGTCATATTTGGGTAGATCAAGAGGATAAGGAACGGATACCATGGACATCTCCACATTCAACTCCGCAAACTTGCTTTTCCAAGTGTTGCCCTCCTGACATATCTCAGTGGCAGGTGGGTGGGACTTGTCTGGGTTGATTGATGGGAGTCGCTCTATTATTTCTGGTACCTCGCAAGTAAAGCGACGCAGCTTTGGGAGTTTCCCGTCGTTCACCATCTCGTAGATAGCCGAAGGAAGCCAGGCCTTCACTTCGTCATATCGTATCGTAAGACTCTCGAGATTCGGCGGCAGAATATCATCTGCAGGATCCAGTTCTATACACTCCCCCCTGTAAGTGTGGCGAGGGTTGTTGTGAGGTGCTTGAGGCGGACTAGTTCACCAAAATCTGTCTCCTCGTCCCCACCCCAGTAAAGATCGTAATCTATATATTCCAAGGAATTGTCGTGTGCGAGCACCGATTGAATGTAACATTGGGCTTCATCCTCGGGGTCTAACATCTTCTGCGACCTAGGGCCTCTGAAAGTGAACCGCTTCAAGGCTGCTGGGTGTTCGAGGACTGTTTGGAGATCGAATGGATTCATGATGCAATTCAAAAGGGTTAGTTCCTCCAAAGGCGATTTGGATGTTGTTGGCGCAAGCCCAGACTGGGACATTCGGAAAGTAGCGCCAGTGATACAGAGCTTTTTTAAACCTGGATGGCAGAAGAGTGCTTCATTGAAAATTGGTAAGCATCTGCCATCCATCTTAGGATTCTTCTCGTTGTGATCATAATCACTTCCGATGTGACCTGATAACATTAGATTTTCGATTCGTCAGAGAGCCAGTTGTAATACCCACAAACACGTAGAGAAGGCAGCCCCGGCGGGTGTTGAAGAGAAGCGTGCCAGAACAAAGTTTCAACCGCGCCATCTCGCGTATAACTAAGCTCGTTATCTGGAGGACTGAACGACGACTCTCCTGAAGGCCCATATCCCAACTCTCGGTACTCTTTGACGCTCCCTGATCCAGAGCCAATTTTTTTCACCCATTGCAACATAGCTTCGTCTCTAGCGTGTGCACTGGCCCACCGAGCAGAATCAAAGGGCCTAGGATTTCTTCTCAAACTCAAGTTTTCCAGATTCGGTAAAGTCACAGCCGTCTCATAAAATTTGAGATGACGGGAAGACCAAAATTCTGACCCAGCATCCTGCTTGTGTCGAATCTCACGAATGAGTGGTGCTAACTCTGGACGCTTCTCTATCGTGAGAGCAAGATGAGCGCCGCTTTCTGAATTGAACAGGCGTACGGGTTTGCTGTAGAGCTGAGGGTCAATTCTAGAATAAAGCGCCGGGCATGTTTGAGCAAGTCGGCTCAGATGTTGAGCAGATTCTTCATCATGTAGGTATTCAATGATGATATCCCAGAGCTCCAGAGGAAAGATTGGCAGTAATGTGGATCTCTGAACGAATGTCCGCTCCGTTGAACTGGCCATTGAGCATGAACCAACAGGGCGATTGGATGATAATGAAGTCCACACAATGTCAGAGATGATGTAAAAGGATGTGGAGGATGTGCACGGATGGGTTTTCTACTCTCTTTGGCGGGACCCCAGCTTCCTTATCTAAGCCCCACGAATGCCCGGGGCCTGTACGCTTGACGCGTTTTCGCGTTTCGTTCTTTTTTTTTTAATTTTTAGAGCCGAAGTGATTCAAAATTTAAGAAATTTAAGAGGAAATCTATGTGTTCCTTTAAGGAAGCCAAGTCGATCTTCAGTTATCGAATTTCTATACAATTGGATGTTCTCCTGCAATACAAACAAATTCAAAAATTCAAAAGCTCTCCACCCGTATGCAAGAACATGTTAATATACAAAGCAAACTCTCATGATGGCATAAATCCCAGATCACGCCCATCAAAGAAAACAATATCTACTAATCAACACGGAGAATTAAATCATCACCTCTCCGCGACGGCGTCAAATTCCGACTAGTCGGAGAAACCCGATTCGACACAGGGCCAACCTTCTTCTTCGGACTAGCAGGATAATGCACAGCACCCTGAAACATATCCGACGGATACGGCAGTTCCCCAGACGGTTCTCGGGACTTCGGCGGCGGGATGGTGCGTCTACGCTCTAGCCACAAGTCATCTGGGCAGTATGGCGCGATGACTTCGCTGGGCGGTCGTGGACTGTTGCGGATCTGGACACGTTTGATGTCGTTTCCGCGTACGATCCGTGGCCTGGATATTATCTCCGAGCCTGGGGGAGTGTTGATGATGATGGGGTGAGGTATGGTTGAGGCGCCTGTCGTCCTGGTGATGGGCTCCGGTTCTGGGTTTGGGTCTGGGTGGTGTTGACCGGGGCGGCGAGGAGGGTTGGGCTTGGGGAGGAGTGGGATGTTTCGTTTGGTGCAGCGCTGCTGTCTGATGAGGAGGCTCCGAAGGCTGGGTTGGGATTGAATGGAGGTGCCAGAGCACTCGTGGCTCCTGATCTTCGTTTGAAGTTGCCTGCTTGGAATCCATTTTTGAATGCGCGTGGATTGGCTGGCAGTCCTGCGAGCTTCGGCTGGATCCCTGGCCTTGGGGAGTTATTTTGCATCATTCTTGCTGCCGCCGCCGCCGCCGCTTGTTGACTTTCGTCTTCTTCAAACAGAGTCTCTCCACTTGGTGGCCGATGACTCCACTTCAGCGGCTTTGGGTATAGTCCAGCTGCAGGATCTGGGAGTAGTCGTGCTACGCTGTGCTGTGACGATTGTGTCCGGGGCGAATTTTCCCAGTCCGAGTCGGAGCTAATGGCAAACCCTATTCGTTCTTGCCCTTTGGGTTCTTTGCCCTGGCCCAAGTTATGTACCGTCGCGGATTGCGGTGAGTATTGTGATGGTGGTTGAACGCTTGCCATCGAATGGAAAGTACGTGGTTGCTGTAACATTGTCTCGCGGTCACTCGTTGGGCTGTGTGAAGACTCTAGACCCAACCCGTCGGTTGGGAGCCGTGGCATCGGTTTCAAAAAGTCAGAGGGCTCAGACATGGCGCCTCCGATTTCGAAAATGTGCGGCGTTGCCTGTTCCCGGTGTTTTCGTCGCCATCTTTTGCAGCAGAAAAACAGAGCAACACCAATTATGAAAGACCCTGCTACACCTGATGCGACTGACATTCCAATGACCGCTGCTGGAGTGATACCATGATCACCTTTCTTATTCGTATCTTCAGAAGAGTCACTGGAAATTTGTTCGGCGGAGGATGTTGGCTCGGCTTGGGACCCTGAAGATGAAGAAGCGTCATAAAATGTGATTTCGGAAGTTTGACTGGAAGTAGTTGACGTCGGTGTCAATGCCAATGTCGCTGTAGATTTTGCTACAGAAGCTTCCGGAGTGCGTTCAGTTGTTGGAGTTGAGCTGGTTGATATTGTCTCTGTAGTAGCTTTTGGATCACTCGTCATCGTTGTACTCATATCAGAAAAAACCGTCGCGGTAATCGTCTGGTGTGTTTTCGGAAGAGCTTCAGATACCGAGTCACATATGTGATAAGCCTTTGACTTTGCGATAACTGTCTGTGGGCATACAGACAGAACACAGCTCAAAGCTGCTTCCCCCAATGTCAAGCTACTAGTTGTCTCCGTGCGACAAAGGCACTTGATATTGGACGGTGACGTGCATTCCATGGGTGTGTATTCGGACTTGATGAAGCTATCAATGCACTCCTTGGCACAGTCCGGGACCATGTCATACAGGACGGAGTTTGATGCATCACTAGAGGTATCTTCGACGGCAGAGCAGAGTGTGAGTAAAAGGAGGATCGCGATGAGTATCCTGTGGAAAAGAAGGAGGAGCATGCTGCGGTAGCCCTATACACGTTTACCATGAGCAACGATCTGCCATGTATGTCTATACTATCAACTAACCTTGTAGATTCCTGCATGGGAGTGATTACCCGTGAAAACTTGTACATGTGGTTACCATAATTGGTCGGTGTGTCTGCGAATTGAGCACCAAATGGCGTGAAGGCAGCAAAACAAGCATACAAGGCCAGAAAGAAGAAGAAGAAGTAAATGCCAAAAAAACAACCAAAAGAGGGACTCCAATCTAGTTAAACACCAAGTCAGTGTGCGATATCATTCTACGCGCGAGGCAAAATTGTCCATGACGCCCATCGACCGTAGGAGCCAAGTAGCTGCGTTTCGACATCATTCTGAAACACATTACTTGAGGCTGTGTATGGATAGGCGCTAGAGTGAAACCCCACGGCATTTAAAATAGTAGTAAGATCCTCCCGGGAGATCTCAGGACGAATCGCTGTAGAGGTAAAGCGCCTTGCCAGGATGGGCCTAGTAAACGGCTCCCGATACGCGCCGGCCCATCGAAAGCGCTTAGGCTGCAGAACAAGTTGTGGATAGCGCCGGGCTAGGTTTCAGATTTCTCAAAATCAGTGGGGGAGTTGCTGGGATTTATTATGTTCAATTCAACGCTGTGCCATGTACAACGTTGCTTCAAAAAAGCGGCGATGAAAGAGACGGTAAGGTAATATCCAACCAGAGACCTATGAAGCGGTGGCATCCAAGGTTCCAAGGTTAGGTAGTCGCGCGTACCCGCCCCATGCAACACTTTGCGCCAATCACTTGATATATTCAAATAGAGACGCCGAGGTCCACAGGGCTCCGTTATATTATGATCAAATCTTGTCTGATTTGCTCTTTTGCCAGTTGCGAGGGATTCTGGGTTCTGTATGGAGTACTCTGTACCTAAAAACATCCAATTTATATGTTCTTTCCTACGCTCACCCTACGCACGAACAACTCGGTGGTTTATAGTAAAAATCCCATTGAATTCATAAAGACTAGCCAACGGCTGGCATTGGTACGAAACAACGAAGCCCCAGAGTCAGACCGTGTGAGCTGGTATCATTCAAAGAAAAAGCAAGAACCCGCAATATCGAGCAAGACAAAGGAAAAGAAACAAAATAAAACATAACGATGCGACCACACAAAATATTAGGGAATTATGGACATCATGTCGGACCCGTGCCGGACCGAATGCCAAGCGGGGGAGGCTGCATTAGGCTAGTCCCAACCGGACCTCCACGGAATCATGCTGACACCGACGTTCAGGGTATCGAATCGCAGACCCTTACTCAAAACGCAAGGCAAGAGTAAGGGTTGAACTGAAATTGGTCGCGGTGCTCACTTCCCAAGGGATATTAGTCTTGGAAAGCGTTGGTTGCGAGGATGTGTGGGAGGTGGGTATCTCTAGTATTTGAAGATAATGTAGCTGTAATATGGTCAGCAGCTGTCACAAAAGACTCTAAACTCATCAAACAAACACATACATGGCGTGAATGACACCGGGGATCCATCCCAGAATGGTCAATAAGATGTTGATCAGGAAATCAGCACCACATCCGCGCTCCAGGAAGACACCCAGAGGAGGCAGGATAATGGCAAAGATAATTTTGCAAATGTCACTGTCGACGATATTAGTATACTGGACATAGTCTCATGGGTGACAACGCGACCTGGGGTGCTGAGAGTGATAGTGACAGGGTGACAGGGTAGAAGCTCGGACTGTAGAATCTACAGCCCATGGCAAAGACAATGGACAACTTACGAAGCGGTGAAAGGCATTTTGGGCAGGTTTGATGGAAGTTTGAAATGTTAACGGAGAAAATGGGAAGGAAAGTGGAGGGAGGGAAGTCTTAAAAGGGGAGGGCCTAAGAGAGCTTGGGTCATTACATCATGGCCCGCCACCTTTGGTGTGGCTCATAGAAAAGAAAAAAAGACAAAAAAACACCCATCTCGGCACATCAAGGCACCAACAGGCTACAAATGTGGCTTAGACTATGACCAGTGTTCGGTTCTGTTCTATTTTATTTTATTATTATTTTCTTCATATTCCAAGATTTTAATTTTAACTTGGGTAATCACTTCTTCATTCAAGTATTAATTACATTCTGTCCAGGGTCGCCAAGATAATGATCTTCTGTGCTGGCGGCTATGACCAACATCTCACCTATCCCGTTCATTCTTTTGCTCGCTGCCTGGAGGAAGCTTGGCGCTGTGTATTAGCCTGTATTTCTATTTCCTATTTTTCACGTTCTATATTTGATTGTATGTTGTACAGTACTCACAGAGTTCTTTGTTACCTGCTTGTACATAGTATGTGGCTATGCGCCCATGCTGCAGTCCAAGTCTCATGATGGTGACGATCTCTTACAAATATCGTCACTTCGTCACTTCGTCACTTCTAAATTTGGCGAGAATCTTTACTTTGTTAGGTCTGCCAAGTACTTGCTGTACAGTTTGTGGCGCTAAAAGTTCCCGGTCGTGGCCAGACAGCTCAGCCCTATGATGGGGCCCCCTTGCCCCCACCTGCCAAGGCGCCTGGTATCGGTATCATGTGGTCGGCGTATATGACTTCATTGAAACTGAAAAAGTGACTGGGAACAAGGTTAGGGACAGAACAAAGGGATAGGAACTAATGCGAAAGACTATATATACACGTTCGATACCAAATTAGAGAGGAAATTCCTAACACACACATCGTAGTCAATAGACTGATCAAGTGAGTTCTATATATCGTTTTTCAACCCCAAACCAATATAGTCTAATAAGGAATTCCGCTACAGGACATCTAGACCTGGCCCGACAGCCACAAAATCTGACCAAAACTATCAATTGCAGGGCTCCTTCCCCAATGTCATCGGTCAAGTCTCCACTTGCAACTCCATCCACAGATGTCCATTTGACATGACTGCCAATATGATTGGTCGTTGATGGTTCGATGGGTCCTGAGGTCCACAGTATGTGCTATTATTCAGCCCTGTTTCGCGAGTCGCTACAAGTGGTTCCTTATTTCCTGCAAGAGATCGACCCTGCACACTTGGTGTGCGGTGTTGCTACTTTTGTGGTGTGTCCGACTGCAGCGCCTGCATGTTCTTCTGAACCCCTTGGAACAGTGGTCTAGATTCTCCTTCGACTTCTCTAGCATCATATAAGCGGTAGGCACCCTGGCCTTTCGAGCCTCAACATCGGGCTAGCGCTGGGGTTGGATAGTCCACGTTCGTATGGAAGATATAGGCACCTTTTGGCGGCCCCCGAGAATAAATTGGCATATGCTATCCATAGGTGCGACGAGATATTCGCCAAGGTAAAGCCTGGGTAGCCAGGGCTGTAGCTGTTTGATCTTTGCCAGTAAGAGCTGACACTTGAAAGTCCCTCTGGTCTCCGGGAACTCGGGACTTTATATAGAGTATCCACGCGGGTATTCCTTTGCATATAGTTGAAGCATGGCTGGGCTTGGTCACGGCAGCGCTTTTTCTCTCCACAGGCCTCGCACAACAAGGACAGTGGATTCCACCGGTACATCATTGTAATCGGAGGGCTATGATTATGCGCTGCATCCTCAATACTTCGAATTCACATAAAGCTTGGAAGTATAAGTATAAGGCGAATGAGAAATGTCTGCCGGTTACGTAGCCTTGCCATGCCTTTTTAGGGGCCTTTTTTCAGTCATTTTAGATGCCGTTATGAGTGTCTTCTTCTTTTGCCGATTTCATTGCTAAAAATACAAAAATGTGGTAGAACGGATAAAATGTACAGGCGACCTTTTTATGTATAACTAGGCGAACATATCCATGGAGGCATGCGATGCTCCGCAGCCTTCCGTGGAGGCTCTTGCTTAAATGGAATTAGCATGCTACATTGAGGCTTCACATTTTCACCCCCTTTGTTCCGCATCAAGAATCAATTTACCTCAACTTCGAATAAATCAACATCGAGCTCATATCAAGTATTTCACGTTAGTTAGCTATAGTGCTCGTATATTGACATAGTGCCAACTACGGTGGAAACAGATGTTCCGCTCCGCGACTGACCCACTATCCTCCGCAATGACTTCCGCGTTTTCCTAATTGGACCAGCTTTTACCTGGATCTCTCAATGTCAATGAGATTCAAACAGATGAGGGCAGCCCTCAATTCCGGACGCTGGCAGCTTCCGGGCTCATTCCAAGCCCCTGGAAACTTTGGTCGCGCAAATCGATGGTATGCGACACATGGGCGGCCTTTGGCATACACATGGCTCACAAAGACAGCAGAAGAGACAGTGAGCCAAATCCACATTTCTGCACTATTGATATTCAAGCTAAATAATAAAAGACTCCAGATGATATTCTGTCCAGTCTCCCTTCCGGGCCTGTGAGCCCATCAGCTGCGCCTGCTTCTGTCCCTCTCCTCCTCGTCACCCCAAGTTTCGCCCACTGGCTCGATTCTTCTAGCCCTTTCTTGTCGCAATTTCTCAGTCGCCTTTACGGAAACTCCCCGGGAAACGATACTCTCTATGCAGTTACAGCTGTGGTTGACGCGCTCCCGAATACTAGATCTGAAAGCTCACATTTAAGTGAGTCCGAAGGGCTGTCACTTTTGGCAGTAGAGCAATCAGGTGTCCAGGCAAAGGTTGCACCACCTCGTCTCATTAGAAGTTCTGCCAGTGAGGAAACCAATCTTTTGTTCAAATTCCAACCCGAGGCGATTGGTCCAACCGGGAAGGGACCTGCGCACGAGATCGGATTGCGCCTAGCGAACACTATATTTGTCAATGGGAAAGAAACAACAATCTTTGGCACACGCTGGCTTTGGGATAAGGCCTCAAGCGGATATACCTTGGACAGTTCGATGGATTTCACAAGCTGCATGATTACAGCTACTTCCCAGGCTTTAGATACCACATTGGAGTTGCCGTTGCATCCGGTGACTGAACGACGAAGAGTCATGACTAGCATGGGAAACATTTTACGCCAACTAGCAAAATCGATGGATCCGACGTCGACAGACACAATGCCTGCTTCGTCGGAGCTCGAGAGGGAGCTCCCACGTTATATCGCAGAACATAATATCATTGACCGGCGTGTTTCCGTATGGGCGCTTGTCGAGAAACCTGACTTGGAGGTGACTGATCCAGGTTCATCTGCTCATGATCGCTTGATCCAATCTCTGCACCAAGGTGGGAAATTGCACCATGTTATGAGCGGTGGAGGCGGATGGGGAAAGAAGCAAGGCCTCCTTTCGCTGGATCCTGAAGTCAGCTTCTCAGGGACTGCCAACCATGACGATCTCATTACATTGAGTCAAGTTTTTGATCCTGATACGACACAGTTGGATACACTCCCTTCTATCGATAAAGGGATTACTGTAGATGATTTATCTCTCCTTTCACAGGTTGCTACTGCGGGGGATTACATTCAGTTCTTTGTGTCGGTAGAACCGACTGGGACACAGCGCAATGTTTCAAGCCATCATGACTCGCAGGAAGAGCCTATCAGCTATCAGTTTGGAATGGTAGCGGACTCTATGGAACTTGCGACACATGAAGTGGATGAAGACAGCAATGTGGTCGTTTCTCTGCCTCGCACCTTTGGAGCATTGTCCGAGAAGGCGATTGCCTACTCGCAGCCCATCAAAGGAGAAATGGTGTCAGAGTCGTGTACGAAGCTAAATATTCCAGGATCTCGAGTTGTCCTCGAAGTTGTATAAAAAAAAATGATACATGTACTATAATGCAATACATCCATATGTAACAAAATGAACAAATTCCGGCTGAATCTATACATGTCACATATGCTGTAGCCACTACCTATCCCGGTGGGTATGCCAAGACATTGCACGTGATCCAGAGAGGCCAGCATGTTTGCCGTCGACCTCCAAGCCTCTGGACTCTCCATCCTCCCCGACCGCATCCAACTGAGCTTGCCGACCTCGGGTGTTTCTATTTCTTTTTAAAGCTCAAACTACTCTACGAGAACCTCGTCGGGTCGTCTTTCATCAAAATGGCAACCGAACTTTGGTAAGTCGTCAACCAGACCTCCCTCCAGCCCCTGGGTGCTCGACAGCTTCCGATCGACACCTTGCTATCAAGCCCATCACTCCCCAGAATTTATGGATCAATCTTACTAACATTTTGATTTTAACAGCCCTGTCTATGCGGTGAGTCTTACTATATACTAGATCCCGACACTCGAGCATGACCAAGTCAATCGCCCGTTTCTCGGCCCCTCCGCGTCATCCATCTGCTCCCAATGCATCGGCATGATAACTAATCTTTCTTCCTTTAGCCCTTCTTTGGTGCGCTGGGCTGCACCTCTGCTATCGTTTTCACCTGCTTCGGTGCCGCATATGGAACTGCTAAGGCTGGTGTCGGAGTTTGCTCCATGGCCGTCCTCCGCCCCGACCTGATCGTTAAGAGTAAGTCGACCTCAACAAAAGCTCCATCGATCTGGCAATGGGATATTCCTAGCTTCGCGCAAGGAAATTTGGCAACAATTCGCTGACTCGATTTCTAGACATTGTTCCCATTGTCATGGCGGGTATCATTGGTATCTACGGTCTCGTCGTGTCAGTCTTGGTCGCCAACGACTTGACCCAGCAGCTTCCTCTCTACACTGGTTTCATCCAGCTCGGTGCTGGTCTGTCTGTCGGTCTGGCTGGTCTTGCTGCGGGGTAAGTTTGCGACACAGGGAGTGTCTCCCATTGTTCTAGAGCTTTGTTCCTGACTTCGATTGCAGTTTCGCTATTGGTATTGTTGGTGATGCGGGTGTGCGTGGAACGGCTCAACAGCCTAGACTGTATGTCGGAATGATTCTGATTCTCATTTTCGCTGAAGTCTTGGGTAAGTCGTGGCTGCTCCCTATACCAATCCGTACAATCACATCTAACCACTTTCCCCCTCACAGGTCTGTACGGGTTGATTGTTGCTCTTCTCATGAA